TTTTGCAAGAGGAACAATCACTGACTGCAAGTTTTTCAAACTATTCTAACGTTTTCAGCTGAGCTCTGGCTAACTGGTCAGCTGGACATCACTTTGATATTTCAGCAAGAACTCTCTGCTCTGCTTCTGTAAGGCATTTATGGTGCCAGTTGACCAGCTCAATGGAAACAAGTCCACGATTGGGAGCAGGGCTGGCTTGTGTTTTAGCCACATGCTCAATAAACAAATATCAGTATCAGCTACGAGATGTTACATTTTAAATTAAGTCGCCTATTTCTACCCCAGGTGGTGCAAGTTAAGAGTTTAACTTGAATAACATTGAAACATTTACCAAAATTCTCAACTTGTTTTAAATTGAATATGATGGCTTTCTTTGATTTCATGTTGATTCTGGGTTGTGTGTGTGTGTGTGTGTGTGTGTGTGTGTGTGTGTGTGTGTGTGTGTGTGTGTGTGTGTGTGTGTGTATTAGCACTTTTTTGCATTAATAACCTCCTGTCTCTATCTTTATTCTTCATACAATGTGTTCTGTTCAATAAATCTTTTATAGATGATACAGATGATATTTCATGAGTTCTCTGGATTATTGCTTAACACTAACATTAGGGATCTAAAATGTTTGACGCATGGTCGGTATATCTGCTGGAAAAAAACCAAATACATAATAAACAAACAATTTATATCAATTTTATTTTATTTATGCAGAGTAAATTTGCAAAAGCAGTCGCCTCAGGTACTTTATCTTGTAAGGTAGAAACCCGACAACAATACAGAGAAATCCCCAACAATCAGCCGAGCCCTTTTGAACAAGCACTTGGCCACAGTGGGAAAGAAAAACTCCCTTTTAACAGGAAGAAACTTCCAGCAGAGCCAGGCTCAGGGAGGGGCAGCGATCTAGCCTGACCTGATGGGGAGTGATGGGTGAGGAAAGTAAAGCCTTTTTTTAACAATAAAAAAAAAGATAATACAATCACAGAGATGCATCGCTCAGTTTGAGCCACATCCTGATTAGGCTGTGGTTCTACCTGTACAG